AAAAATCAGTGTTAGACAGCGGCTGAGGGAGCAGAGACAGCATCAGGTCAACATTAGTTTTCAGCTGGAATTCCCCTTTAAGCTCCTCTGAGGCCGTCTGTGTGTTTTGTTGCGCTTGAGGATCAATGTAAGATGAATGGAGGATGAATGGAGGATGAATGGAGGGAGGGGACGACATGTACAGAAACAGATCTCACATTTCAAAGACTGAAAACACAGAAGAACAAAGCAGCGAAAGCGTCTGAAACACAGCGAGACGTCAGAGTCGGAGCTGCAAAGCGTTCTCTGACATTTGGCATCAGTGAAGTCAGCGACAGGACACACCTCAGGGGTCAGAGTTCACAATACTCAACCCCAGGAAGGCTGCTCACAAAGCCCAGGAGCCAAACGCAGTTTCAGCTGCAGGAATAAATCAGCTTGTAGCAAAGAGAAAGATCAACAGTAATGTCATCAAAAGGAAACATGATGTAAAGCTGTGTACTCAGCTCTTTAACCAGAACAGAAAGACAGGTGGGAACACCTGAAAGTTCCTCAACTGAAAGCTCCACTGAATAATACCCAGAAACAGGTGATAGAGAGGACCAGGAGTCGGTTTAAGCTGTGACAACTGAACAAATATGTTTTCCATGTATCGTTACGCGACCCTCCTAACCCCACACCAGTCTGGTGACTGGATGTGTTTGGGGGCCTGTCCAGGATCTTCAGTACAACAGAACAACTTGAACAAGCAAGTCATGAATTGAAACTTCCTGTTAGGATACAACAAAGCTTTCAGCACAATGTCTGTCAGTAGTAATATATAAAAAACAAGCTCAAACCTTTATTTATCCAGTCTCACAAGCAAAAGTCTCTCTTACTCTCAGATTTTGTGTTTTGTTCTTCAGAAATGAATCTGACCTCCTTCTGAAACATGTGACCGTCCCTTTAGAGCTGAAACCAGCACTCTGTATCTCCTCGTACCTGTACAGGGTCTCCAGCTGTGGCTCTGGACTCTGGCGGTGAGCAGCACCCAGGTGAGCAGCAGGAAGTGACACGAAAACATCACGCCTGTGCGCCGTGAACAGCGTGTTTGACTCCCGCTCACCGACCCGCTTCCTGTCCTGCGTCTCTCAACGTCATTCTCCAGTTGGCCTGAGGATCTCCTGGGCGGTGTTTCTTCAGCATCTGTTGTCAAAGAGCAACACGACAAACGTCTCAGATTTGGTTCCTTACAGCGGCGTCTCCAACATTTCCACCCGGCGAGCCCGGACAGCCGTCTCGCCAATTCTTCATGAACGCCACCAAGTTCATTTAAGTTCACATAACCTGGCTTCAAACCATTAAACTGTCTCTTTATCTGTAACTACAGCTCAGCTTTCAGTTTACAGCTGATTGTTGCCTTAACTTTTAGTTAACTGCCTGTTTAAAATCATTTCTGTGGTTACGGCAGAAGGACCCTTGGTGGGACTCTCCATGTTACACCTGCACCAGGTGGGATTTTCACAGCACTACAGACTGGCTTAAACTGGTTTAATAAATGATGCTGAACATAAAAAACTTGAGTAACGTGCAAACCTGTGGCTGAGAAATATCACACTGTGTAATTTTACCATCAGACTGCACTATCAACACTTTACGTGGGCACATTGATCACAAAACGATTAAACGATGAGCCAAAGATAAGAACAGCTGCTAAAGATAAAATCATGTGAACTCGTTTCGTTTCTCCCCGTCGTGTAACGAAGCTCGTCTCCTGAACACTAACCTGCTAACATGAGCGTCTGGCCCACATTTGAATCACATGAGAATCTGTGAGAGGAAAACAAAGATGCAAAAGCTTTGATGCACAGTGACGTCATATCTGAGCAAACCTGGGTCAGAGGTCAGAGGTCAGAGGTTTAACCAGCCTCCTGAGGTCCAGCTCCAGTCCTAGTCTGTGAAGAGGTTTCAGGACATGTGAGGAGACCTCTGACTTGAGCACAGGTAAGAAGAGGCGGCGAGAGGAGCTCAGAGTGGGGAGGTCTGGCGTGTTGTGACCTCACAGACGTACAGTCTTTGCTCTACCTGTCGGCCGTCCTTAAACCGTCCTCTTCGTCTTTGCTGGACATTTATCTGTTCTTCAGAGAAACCAAAAACACAACCAGGCTCATCGTCAGTCCACCTTTAAAAGTGTTCTCAGTGTCTGAGATGAACCTGATGATCTTCAGCGTGTCTCCACCTTCAGGTGAAGACCTCCACCTGTCGTCTCCTCC